CTTGAGTCCAGGAGTTCAAGACTAGTCTGGGCAACATGGCAAAACCCTGTCTCTACAAAAAATACAAAAATTAGCCAGGTGTGATGGTACGTGCCTGTAGTCCCAGCTGCTTGGGAGGCTGAGATGGGAGGATCGCTTGAGCCCAGGAGGCAGAGGTTGCAGTGAGCCAAGATCTTGCCACTGCACTCCAGCCTGGGCAGCAGAGCCAGACCCTGTCTCCGAAAAAAAGATAACAGCAATCACCCCTGGGTGTTGGGATTGGAGGTGATTTTATTTTCTTTTTATTTTTCTGACTTTTCTAAATCTCTGATAAACTTGCAATTAAAGAAGAAATAACAGGAAATGTGTTTTATTGGGGTACTATTAGTATTTGCAAGTGTTCAAACTTAACTGCGGGAAAATGATGGCAGGATTCTACGGGCATATTTTAGAGCAGCTGTGAGATGCATGTAACTATGTAAAGGTTCGTATAGATGATTACTAGATCACCATGAATGATACATCTGTGGACATTTTCTGTAGGACTTTCATAACTTGTTACCTGAGTGAAATTTAATTCCTAGGCAATTCTGGGAAATGGTGGCATGAGGCAGAAGGAGCCAGTGGCCAATCCTGAAGTGTTCTGGGAAACGGTGGCGTGAGGTGGAAGGAGCTGGTGGCCAAGGTCCCGGCTATGATTGCACCACTGTGCTCTGTGGACGACAGAGTGAGACCCTGTCTCAAAAAAACAAAACAAAAGTTGCCCTGATCCACACAAATTCTTGGTTTTGTTTTTATAAATGTGCTTTTATAAAGTGAAAGCCAAAGTGTTCTGTTATTTCAGTTTTTTTTTTTCTTTAATCTCCTTTTAGGTTAAAAATTTTGCAGTTATTTATCTTGTGGATATTACAGAAGTACCTGACTTCAACAAAATGTATGAGTTATACGATCCTTGTACCGTCATGTTTTTCTTCAGGTATGTTGTCTTAAAGTCGCTGTGGAAACTGAATATTGTCAGTTTGGAAGTTAATGTAACCAAGATCTCTTTATTTTGAAGGAAGTTGGTTCTACAGTCATATCCCAATAGCATTTGTATCACCAGGTAATCAGTGTGAATCTTTTAAATAATTTTCAAAGTAACAATTCTAGTTTTAGCATTTACTTAATAACAAATTATCCTTTTGAAATAACTGCTGGGAAACTAGGTAAAGTGTAATTCAATGAAAGACATTCTTACTGACATTTTAGATACCTTGAACTAATCTGTTCATCAAAAATGTGTTGTAAAATCACAAATTTAAGCCGGGTGCGGTGGCTCACGCCTACAATCCCAGCACTTTGGGAGGCCGAGGTGGGTGGATCACGAGGTTAGGAGTTCGAGACCAACCAGGCTAAGATGGTGAAACCTTGTCTCTACCAAAAATACAAAATTAGCCAGGCGTGGTGGTGCATGCCTGTAATTTCAGCTACTGGGAGGCTGAGGCAGGAGAATCGCTTGAACCTGGGAGGTGGAGGTTGCAGTGAGCTGAGATCGTGCCATTGCACTCCGCCTAGGCAACAAGAGCAAAACTCTGTCTCAAAAACAAAACAAAACCTAATTTATTAAATACGATATCGACTTTAGTGTCCTTTTTTATATCTAAGAGGAACACCTGAACTGAATTACTTTGCTTATAAATACAAGATTATTTTATCAGCTCAAAAATTTCATTATGGAAATTTGACGGGGAAGAAAATCACCATCTGATGCTGCTTTTGCTTGTTTAGTTACCATAGAGGTTGGTGAATTAGCTACATGAGCATTAACCGTTCTCCAAAAGTGGAGCCTCCTGCTTGGTCAGGAGGGTCAGCTGGGTTGTACAGGGTGTGTGTTAGTTTCATAGTCTTTGTAACAAATTAGCACACATTGAGCAGCTTAAATCACCCCCTTTTCAGAGCTCACAGCTCTGTAAGTCAGACATCCAGGCAGGGCCCGCTGGATTCCTGCTCAGGGTCTCCCAAGGTCTGAACCATGGGCCAGGTGCGTCTCTGGAGTGTCTGAGGGGCTTGTTTGGGTTGTGGGCCGAATCCAGCTCTTCGTGGTGGAGAGTCTGAGATCTGCTTCCTTGCTGCTGTTACCTGAGGCCACTCTGTCACTAGAGACCCCATCACCCTCAAAGCCAGCACCGGCATGCCGGCACGGTGAGGTATTTTCTTTTTTTTTTTTTTTTTTTTTGAGATGGAGTCTCGCTCTGCCGCCCAGGCTGGAGTGCAGTGGCCGGATCTCAGCTCACTGCAAGCTCCGCCTCCCGGGTTCACACCATTCTCCTGCCTCAGCCTCCTGAGTAGCTGGGACTACACGCGCCGCCACCTCGCCCAGCTAGTTTTTTGTATTTTTTAGTAGAGACGGGGTTTCACCGTGTTAGCTAGGATGGTCTCGATCTCCTGACCTCGTGATCCACCCTTCTCGGCCTCCCAAAGTGCTGGGATTACAGGCTTGAGCCACCATGCCCGGCCATGTTGAGGTATTTTCACACAAGTTCTCTGACTTCCTGAAAAGTTCCGCCTGAGAAAATGCTCTGGTTTTAGAGGACTGTGATTAGATTAGACTTGCCCAAATAATCCAGGATAATCACCTTGTTTTATTGATTTATTGAGATGGAGTCTCACTCTGTCACCCAGGGTGGAGGGCAGTGGTGCCATCACAGCATCCTTGAACTCCTGGCTTCAAGCCATCCTCTCGCCTCAGGCTGCCAAAGTGTGAGGTGCTGCCGCGGTTCTGGGCATCGGGATACGCTCCCCTGGACATGCCTTAGGCTTCCTAGGCACCTCCTGTTTGGTGAGAAGATCTGTGAGGTGCACCTGCATTTCTTGTGAACTTTTGATCTTTCATAGGTTTCAGCAAAGGTTGCGTGGCGGACCCTCAGCCTTTCCTCTGCTGTGCGTTCAGCAGCCATTTCTGAGTTTCAGCACCTTTGGCCATCCGGAGAGGCTCAAGAATTTATTCCTTTTGTTAACAGTTCTTACACGAATTTGCCTGTTTCCTCTCTTGAAGGCAGCACCTCCGAGACTTTGCTTGGAAGTTTCCGCAGCTAAATATCCCAAGTGTGTTGCTTTTGAGCTCTGATCTCCCATAACTGCGGACCCTGTGTCCCTGTTCCTCGGCCACTCTGTAACGGGGTCCCCTTTTCTCTGTTTCCCAGTAACGCACTCCTCACTTCCTTCCGACCCCACACCAGGCGTTCCTAAAGTCCATATTCCTGTTAACAGCCTGTTTGAGGCAATAGAGGCCTTTTCTAATTCTTCAGGTGAGAACAGGGAGGGCCGTCTTAGGTCTCTGTCCCCCACAGCGTGCAGCGGAGGCCAGCCTGGGGCTGGGGATGCTGTGAGGGGCAAGGAGGCTGCAGCCTACTTAGTGTAGTGTGATATTCTTAGGACTGATGCTGTACTCAGAAAAGGAGATGAAACTTCCTTCTGCTGTTTCTGTGATTCAGAATATTAAGACAAACGGTACTTTAGTTACCTTATGCACTAAACATGTATCTTGAGCCCCCACCAGGTTTGTAGTCTAGTGGTGGGGCCTAATGTCAGATAAGACAGGATTCCCACTCTCATAGGACTTTGTCTGATAGAAGAAACAGCTGAGTAAATTAGCAGGGAGTACTGAAGAAGTGAAAGGAGGCAGGTGTTTATGAGATGTAAATACTGAAGAAGTACCCCCAAGTCAGATAGGGCTACAGGGAGGGCGCTACGGGCAGCCCCCGTCAGTGTAGAAGGATCTTGGTGCCTGCTGCATGGAGCGCGGGCCTGCAGCATGGAGAATGAGAGGGCGGCCAGAGGTGGGCTCCAGACCCCTATCAGATTTGCCTTTCCTGAACCAGAGACTTCACTGGGATCGCTTTCTGTGGAATAGTAGGTGGAAGCCAAATGCATGATCTTGTGGAAGTGAACGTTAAAAAACAGTCTTCAGGTGGGGCATGCCTGCCGCCCAGCCACTCTGCAGGCCGGGGTTCGAGTCCAGCCTTAGTAACATAGACCTCATCTCTAAGAAAAATAATCAGGTCGGGCGCAGTGGCTCACACCTGTAATCCCAGCACTTCGGGAGGCCAAGGAGGATCACTTGAGGCCGTGAATTTGAGACCAGCTTGGGCAACATAGGGATACCCCATCTCTACAAAAAACTAGAAATTAGCTGGGTGTGGGGGCTCATGCCTGTGGTCCCTGTTACGTAGAGGACTGGGGTGGAAGGATCATTTGGGCTGGGAGGTTGATTTTGCTGCCATGCCCTAGCCTGGACGACAGTGAGACCCCATCTCAGAAAGAAACTTCAACAAACCAGGATAAGTTTATGCCAGTACAACAAAGGGCTAATATCATTATCTTGTAAAGTGCACATAAGTATTCATAAGAAAAAGAAGTAGTCTCTTGAAAGATAAGTAAAGAATCATCTGCTTCCCTCACCATAAACATGCAAAATGTCATCTTCATTTCATAGTCGAAGGGCTTTTAATACAATTTATGTCAGTGCTCAGAAGAGCACCATGAAAAACACATTGCTTTTATCAGGTAAATTAGTACAAATTAGATGGGGGTCTCGTTTTGTTATCCATGTTGGTCTCAGACTCCGGGCCTCAAGTGATCCTCCTGCCTCAGCCTCCCAAAGTGTTGGGATTACAGGCTTGAGCCACTGTGCCTGCCCTCCTTTGAACTTTTAATTTCCCCTTAGAATATTTGTCCTAAATAAATACAGAAAAATGCAGGGAAAAGCATGGTGGTTGATGCATTGCATTTTTAAAAAGCACGTTTAGGTCCTTCCTGTGTTCTCCTGCATCATGGCAGACACTCTCGATTTTACGCGTTCTTCAGTGATGTTAACAAGAACTTACGCATTGTTTTCAAGGAATTCTTTTTTAAAGGGGTTTTTATGAGAATGGATGCCCTTGTTTCTCTTTGCAGGAACAAGCACATCATGATTGACTTGGGGACTGGCAACAACAACAAGATTAACTGGGCCATGGAGGACAAGCAGGAGATGGTCGACATCATAGAGACGGTGTACCGCGGGGCCCGCAAAGGCCGCGGCCTGGTGGTGTCCCCCAAGGACTACTCCACCAAGTACCGCTACTGAGGCACCTCAGTCTGCGCGGATACACGTCCTGGAGCCCTTTTTGTGCGGAAATGTTTTAAGCTATTTAAAGCCTTTGGAAAATACAGGAAGCTCGAGGGCTGGAGGACCTCTGAGGTGGAATTGATTACATGGTCTTAACTCACCAAAATAAACAAGCAGTGGTGAGAGGAGCAGGCCTACTTGTTTGTTCTCAGGAAACTTGATGAATAGATGACTGATTTTTCCTAGTCAAAGTTAATTCTTATCCTTGGAGTAAAACGAAGGTGTTTATCCTATGAGGTTGTGCATTTTGTGTACGTTTTTAGTTTGCTGGGGCTGGTTAGTTTGCTGGGGCTGCGGCGACAGCGTGCCACGAGCTGGGCCTTAACAGAGAAGCTCTCACAGCTTTGCAGGGCTGGGTCCGAGATCGGGCGTCGCAGCTTTGCAGGGCTGGGTCCGAGATCGGGCGTCGCAGCTTTGCAGGGCTGGGTCCGAGA